GCGCAACTAAAATGTCTTTATTCTGTTTTTTATTTCATTGATCTAACTTTTACAGTTCTGGAGGTATTTCAATTTTTGTGACTGACCCGTAATTTTTGGAACCGAGTGTAGATTCATGACTGACTTAGTGTGACCGACTCCTACTCCTCATAATTCCAAAACCTATAATATAATGTAATTGAATAAAAATAGCAAAATTGCGTTTTATAATAGGCCAAAACCTCCTCAGAAGAGTCTACCAGTGGCAAAAAAAGGCTGTTGATGATTATGAAACAAATGATTTTGATTATGAAGTTGTTGTTTTGACCTTGACTGGCTGGCCTTTCATTTCTTATGGCATAAGATTAAACAAGTAGACATGTCATCGTCAACATGCAATTGGGTTGCCGGTCTTTGACCAGAACTGGGGAAGGGGGGATTTTTGCTTTTGGTAACCTTATTCAATGTAGCTTTCCATTGATGGAATAATTTTTTAAATCGGTTTAGTGGTTTAGAGGTGAAAGCGTAATAAACAAACAAACTCACTTTCACATTAAAATATAAGTATAGAAGTATGAAAGTATCTATGGATAGGCAGTAGACTTGGAAATTATTGCTACTTTTAAATCATATTCATTTGATGAAATGATTAGTTCTAGTCACATCGATTTCACATGTGATTGTGATTTCGTTATAGACAAAGATAAATAGCATTAAAATCAATCAAAATTATTGGTATCAAAGATAACGATCCTTTTTTTATATAGGCCTCGCGAGTCTTATGCTAGCGTAATAATAATAATTAAGTCGCTGTGGTTTTGTCACAGGTGTGCAGATATGTTTTATAAATCATATGATTGTAATAATTCTGGTATTGTTATTTTATTCCATCCCTAATAGGAGTTAAATTATTAAAAAGTAATTTCGCCACTGTATAATTAGTAAGTCAATTCCTAACGTGATTAAAACTATCAATAACCATTATGTCCTTGTTATGAGCTGCAAGTTGCAAAACATGAAGAGGATTAACTTGTGAAAATTCCATAATATGAGTAAGACTTAGAGCAATGACACATGTACCAGTAATGTTGTATATTGAATTTGAAAACTACTCGAAAATTGATTTTGTTTTAAATAATATGAAGGGACAAAGACAGAACTGCGTTAATAATTCACGTGATCATATTACTCACCCAAATGTTAATCTAACGAGCAGTCTGTTCTATTTCAAGTTTCATTCATTCAATTTAAGTTGCATCTTTGTTATCTCCCTGAATAAGCTACTGCTTTACTGTTTGTAATTTATTTAGCACTCGGCGCCATTCACAGTGCATTTGTTTGCAAGTCTCCCACAGTTTGACGTAGCTTGATGCTATAACAAGTGCATGATTATAAGATAAAATAAAGATTAACTTCTTTTTGGCTTTGGTACACGTTTTTTTAACTGTTTTTTTTTATATTGATATTTCGCTAATTTGGGACGTGGCGTAAAAGAGAGAATACTTATATCATTATTGTTACTATAAGAAAATTATTGGCCTAATTACCCAAACTCTAGCCGTCTTATTATAAAACGTGGACTTAAAAAAGTACCGGCTTTAGTACTAGGTTTAAACCATGACCTTGAATAAACGTTATTACAAAAAGAAGTTTATCGCTAGTCCTAGAACTATCTATGGTATCAAAGTTAGACCATCGTGACCCCTAGTTTAACTATGGTACTAAATTGTCAAACGTCAAATTCTTAATTTGAGGTTCGCTTCCGGAAAGGAATTTGTGATTAGAAACCAAAAAATGGATATGGATGCAATTGATATGTTTGATTTGGAAGATTTGAATGTGTTGGATATACTAGAATATCGGATATCGTAGCTCGGTGGCGTGGCAGTGTCCATGATTCTAGAATCTTTAGGGAGTGTCGCTTGAAGCAAAGATTTGAATCTGGAGCGTTTTCTGGCATCCTCTTAGGAGACAGTGGATATCCGTGTACACCATACTTGTTTACCCCACTGCTGAACCCAAGAACAGAAGCAGAACAAAGGTATAACAGGAGCCATATCCATACACGGAACACTGTGGAAAGATGCTTTGGTCTGTGGAAGCAACGTTTCCGCTGCCCACTAAGATGCCTATTTCCTGATGATGTCAACAATGAGCAATCCTCTAGGGATTCAATACCAGTGCAGCCAGTTCAAAATTCACTACGAGGGAATATTAGAAGAAGGCAGTTTATTGAAACTCACTTGTCATAAAATAACATTTATTATATATAACTATATTTCTTTTTTGTGATATTCATGTATGTATATGGTTAATACATGTATTATATAAATATACTAAAATAAAAGCTAATGATCCTTTTTTCATAAAGTAAATCAAACATAAATAAAAGTAACTATTATCTTTAAGAAAATGCTAAAATCAGTCCTTATTGATTATTATGGGGAATATATAACCTGAAAATAATTATGTTATATTATTATGTGATTGTCAATATATTTGAAGTATTTAATCAATAGGAGATAGATTACATTAGTTATTTATTTGAAACTCTTGACTGAACAATTTATACTTATTTAACTTATTTATTTATTTATATAGGACAACTTACAAAACATACACTAATACATAATTTACAAACATGTTTTACAAATATTTTCTGAGTGTTGTCTTACTTACAAGTTGCCACGGCATGGTAAGGGACAGTTGCATCTATTCCTTAGTAATGGTGTTAGTTTTTATCTGAGTCTCCAATAGTGCTATTTGTAACTGTAGCTTTTTAATTTTTAATTTTGATATTTCAACCTGATAGAAGTGCTGGGCTTCCAACTTATCAAGCTGTTTTTTTTTAAATTCTGTAGTACTATTTATAATAGCTTGGCGCCCTTCTTCATTTCTGTAAAATAAATTCTATATTATTATGTAATAATTTGACTTATTATTTTAGTGTGGTAAGCTTTATTTATATTTTCGTGGTTCCTTGATTGAAATAAAATATATTCAGTATTATCACATTTATTTTAACAAACCTATTTAGGGAGGCGGTTTTCCCTGTTGGTTTATTTTCTTCTATTTCTACACTACTTTTTGTTTGCACAGTTTCACTGGTGTAGATCACTGAAAATAATAAATAATATTAATGAAACTAACCTGTATTTTTCTTATTATGAAATTATTATACCTTGTTTTTCTTCAATACTGGACTCTACATTTTCATCACTTATAATCACTACAATTGGTTCTATTGAGCTATGGCCAGCATCAGGGTCTTCAACTGTTTGTTGTTGTTATATTTGTCATCTGTAACAGGTAAATGTTTAGTAAATTGTCATCATATTATACTCTCCACTATTGTTAACTTTTACTTACCACTGCATCACTGTCACAGTCACACGTCTACAACAAAGTCATGAGGAGCAATAGCCATGACTTCCAGGTCCTCTGGAGAAGGTGACGGGGGCTTGTTGCCACCTCCTGTTTTAGACTGCTCTCTCCTGTGAAGAGACAAGTTTGCCTTGGCTGCCAACTTCATTCTCTTCCAAGCCAACTTTATCTCTTCTACAGAACGATTTTTTCCGGCGATTTGCTCACCACAAAGAATACTGTGCCCAAAGGATTGTGCCCTTAGGTACTTGTAGTAACTATAATCTTGAAGTGAAACCACAGTGAGGACATTTTTTTAGTTTAAGTTGTAACATAAACATTTCGATTACATTAATTAATATTATTTAACGGGAATTAACGCGATCTCTTATTTAGGGTATTACATACCTCTGGTTTGCCTGGACGTTTCGACCAGGTTGCACCGGATTCCACGCTGTAGATAATTTAAAACCATCTACAGCGTGGAATCCAGTGTTAAAAAACATACCACCTCGCTTTTCTGCGCAATCGGTTAAACACCAGAATAGGGACTCATCGGTTTGCTTACAGAATAGGGACACTGTTAGTGTGGTATGTGACGGTACATGGCGACACAAAAATAATATCGAAAATGTGCGGGTAGATGAAGAGCCTTCTACTTCACGGATTCGACGACGGAGGGCGTGCGCCGATGAGCCAGTCAGCCTGTGACCACGGCCGGTGCAACCTGGTCGAAACGTCAGGCAAACCAGAGGTATGTAATACCCTAAATAAGAGATCGCGTTAATTCCCGTTAAATAATATTAATTATCATGGAACGCGAAAGTTTAAAAGTTAGTATTTCGATTACATTACTCGAATTACGCGCGCCGTCCAGTTCACTCCGTTATACTCATACGTGCTAGCTCGGTAGTTGTTCCAAAACATAACATTAATAATTGGATTGTGAACATGCATTCAAAAAAATACAAGTCGGAATATTTAAATACCTTTAAATAACAAAACTTTAAATTTTACCCCTACAAATAACAATTCAGAAAATATTTTTCTTTATATTTCGTAACAACATTTTGTTAAAAAGGAAAGGCGCGTAGAACGCTGAACGAATGAATGAATAATTTAAATATTTTGTTGCTTATAATCTGTGGAAAATGTTTAGTCCAGAGACGATCTTTGGTACTAAGTAGTCCTTTGTTGGTCTACGATTTGTAATAAGAATGAAAGAACTAACGTTAGTACCGTAATAAGCTTAGACCTTTTAGTCCTGGTTTAAACCTGGTACTTATGAAAGTTTTTATAATAAGACGGTAGTAGTTTAAACCTTACTTAAAATACATACAAAAACTGAAAGCCAGAGGTTAGCAGCCTGAAAGATGATTAACCATTTTGTTGCTACAGCTTTTTATTTACGCTTGCAGTTTCTTTTTTAACAATCCTTATAAATCTTATAAACCTCATGGCACTAGAATATAAACCCGCGACTAGAAAATCTACATAAAATCCATAATATCCGTACATCATAAATGCGAAAATGTGCTCCACTGATCATTATAAAATTTAGCGTAAACGTTGACAGGGTTGCAGAAAAGCACATATTATGGTACTTTCAGTTACAAAGCACAGTACAAAGTTATTTTAAGGTATTTTCAGTTAGCAAAATGCGCGCTCATCTCACCAGCGCAGCGCTCATGCCAAAAGTAGCATGTGGCGCAAACGCTACTTATAAGTACGTATAAGGAAAACTGAATTCAAATGTCATTCTTCTACCTATACCAGTGCAGTCTATACATTATGGATTAGTAAACAATTTCAGAGAACAGTTCTATTACAAAATGTTTAATGGATTTATAATAAGGATTCACACGTCTAGCGAGACATTAATAAGCACGAAATTTTATTACGAGAGCTTCTAACATTTTGACAGGTGAGCAATGTTATGTAACTTAAATTGCAGCTGATAAAATAATAAAATGCTTATTACGACTGTTATTAATATGTAGCTGATATCAAAATGATAAGCGCCGTTAGATGTGGTTGTTAACAGTCGGTAAACGTAAATACTGCTACGAAAAAAGGTGGCTTTTCTGCACCAGCCAGAATTACAGGAATGCGGACCATACTGTGCTGACATCCACACACCTGTATTCATAACACGATCGAAAAAACATTATTGGTGTTGTAATAAAAAGGATATCTAGGCATGATAAAAAAAACGAGTTTTTTTAAAAGATTATAAATTATGGTTTTTTTATATGCTGACATTAATACTTCAATTTTGGTTAATTAGCGGTTTGGCTTTTTTCTGCACAGTACGGTGTAATTTAAAATTGGTTAAATTGATTTCTTAAAAAAGTCTCAAAAAGAAAAAAAATGGATAAAGCCCCCAGAACCATGTTGCGTATTTTAAAAAAATAGTTGGGACTTTAAAGCGAAATTTTGGGTTAAGTACGTCTTTTACAAGCTGCAAAGCCATATCCCTATTATTTTTAAATTTTCAAAAGGTTAATGTCTTTTACAATGTTAACCGAAATTTTCAAAATTATAGGGTGGTAAATAACAAAAATACTTCTTAGGTACCCTAATGGAGATCATGCGTATTTTAATTGATAATTAATTAGCCACAACTTTTAAAGACCTATGAAGAAATTTTTAACGAACTTATGAACATATTTTTAAATGTTCTTACATATTTGATAGTAATATATAATGTAAAAAACACTACAGATAATTATGTTGCATGTCATAGAAACGTTGTTTTCCTTTTAACAATATTAGGGCTAAAACTGTGTAATTATACATATATATGTGTATACCAGTCACTAATTGTACTCATTCATAATTCATAACTATTGTAGTCTACTGGTACTCCAATCCATATGAATATATTTTTCATAACACTTATGTAACACGAATACATATATCACTTTGAGAATATTTTTTCATGATATTTAAAATTACGTATTAAATTCATTGCAATGATTTTTTATGGTCCAAGATGTGTAAAAAATTACTTAAACATTAGGAAGTTTTATTTTTTCTAACAAATGCGTTAGCCTTATTTTAATGCAAGAAAAGCCTAATTGGTTTTATTACTTTAACTTCTCGCCGGTAGCAGGTTGTAATTAAACATCCATCAAAACCGCTTTAAAACAGTTGTAATTAAATCGTCTAATCGTTTAGAAGTGACTTTTATCATTATGTTTGAGTCTTGTCATCACCTTAAGACTTGTAATTGACAAGAGTTGATGAACCACATAACAAACAAAATCTGTTTGCCAATGTCCTTTTTTAGGGTATCGTGTACTCCGATGCAGTGACTAAGACATCAAGTTCCTGGCAAGTCCTGGGATCATTCCTATCGATTCTGTAGCCTTATGGGATTGATTCTCCATACAATTTTTAATACAGTTTTCTCCATACCATTTCTAGGACGGTTTCTCCAGACCATTTTGAGCACAGTTTGCTCCCCTAAAACTTCGAAGCCACCGCTTCAGTTTGTTAGTTTGGGGTAAGAGTTATGGTTAATAGCGTCCTTTCAAGATAGAGCTAGCCCTATTAATATTTTTTTACATCGCGACGCTTTGTTGTACTTCTTATTCTGTCTTTTGTTTGAGCCAGTGATATTATGATTATGAAGAAAGAAGTTAGTATCTAAAAACAAGTAAATAAAAAAATTCAGTATCAATTCTAAACTAAAACTTCCGACTCAAGCCTTAAGTAGTTGAAGACAGCAGTTTCAGAGACTAGGTCATTTAATTAGTTTATTCTAAAGGAATGTGTATGAATTAATTGATTTTGTGTCTATTTATTGATTGGTTCCTTTAACATCGAGTAAACTATCTAATGGTTTTCTAAAAAAAACGATAGACATTTGTCTATATAATTATAAATAGTATTGTATAATTTATTGTTAAACAACCGATAATCTTATGTAATTGTGTTTAAAATTAATTGAACAAACTGTCATATCCATTTAAGATAGAATTCACCTCATTGTAAACAATTCGTTTCAAATTTGAACATATTTAACAGAATTTACGAGTAACATATATAAGTCCAGCTTTTGCCCTCGTATTCTCTCAGGTAGTAATTTTCCATTCCAGCAGGGCATTTATAATAATTTAAAGTATTCAAGATATGCGGTCTTTTACTATATTCCTGGCAATGTGTAAGTAAATTTAGTGTTGATCAGATGCGATACCGATTTATTAGCGCATTTGCCGTACCCTAATTAGGATGTCCGAAATATTTAAATATTTATTTATTTCCACACACTCTTCATAGACAAAACAAAATTGTCCTTAAACCGTAACCAAACTGGATAAAACAATCGAGTAAGTAGGGTGCAAATAATTCCTGAATCGGTGAAGGCATTGGCTATCATCGAGTAAATCTCAAAAGACTTTCTGCCAGGCATCATGAATTCTCTTGTTGGCCAATAGCGTTTTCTTCGTAGCCCCTAAATGTAGTTTAATTAAACACGGCATAAATTAAAGTTAACACATTAAGATAGATACTTCAGGTGTAAAAATTATTTAAAGTTTTCCACTTCCTTGTTATCGGCTAATTATGAGAAGGTACATCATCATCACATCAACAGCCGATACTAGTCCACTGCTGGACATAGGCCTCTCCTTAGAAAGGAGGTTTTGGCCTACTATACCACGCTGGCCAGACGGGTTGGTATAGGGTTTGTTTCAAGTTTTCCTTCTCTTTGCAGTGCTGTTGTCCTGCTTAGTTTGCTCCCTTAGTCGGCTCTTACGACACCCACGGGATGAATTGGGGTGGTGACAATTTGTATTCTTAATCCGTCACCACACGGACTGAGAGGTACATTTTCTTACAAAATCACAAATCTTACATAAGTATTTGTCTTTCTTCCTACGACATATTTTAACGGTTTAACCGTAGAACTTGTAAAAATTGTACATCGGCAAGTTAAAGCAACACATTTTTTCGAAGGTCGTTAACGCTATAAAAGCCGTTACGGGTTAAAGCCTCTCGTAACTTATGCTCGAACGCTTTAAGTCACTGAAAATAATGATTATTTCATGGACATGACATGGATAAAAACTCTGGCAAATGCAGTTGCCAGAGTTTTTATCCATGTCATGCGTTGAATAACAACATACATTATGTTGAAGCTTAGTGAATATGTATGTAAGTTTCAATGCTCTTTGGGTCATTGAACTTTATAAACCCTAGTGTTGTGAGTTTAACATTATACTTGTAGTTAAAGCTAGATGAATGGTAATAAATTAAAAATTCAAAACAAAGCAAGGCAACGCGTGGGCGGGCGGATGGTAAAACGCGGAGGGCGGGCGGCGATCGAAGAGCGCGCGCGGTGCAAGAGGATGGGGGAGAAGTAACGATCGTATGAGCGGCCGCAGTCTTCCAGCCGCGAGCGCGCCGCGAGCATGAGCGACGTCGGCACGCTCGCCGCCATGGACGCGTTCGCGGGCGGCGCGAGGCGGAGGCCCTCACGTCTGCCGCCACCGCCGCCTTTTGTGCCACCGCCACCGCCCCAGCGCCACGACCATTACTACGTGCGCCGCAAGTCACCTATCCCAAGACATACGACAAACCTTACGCTGTTTGCGCGTAACAATGGTATCCCCGCACGAGACATCCGCATGCACTTGCACACCACGCACGCACCAATGCAACTCTTGTAGCTCCCACTCCCGCGCCTCAGCAACGTGCACTCCCAATGTCAATGTCACGTTCTCGTCGTTGCATGCATGTCATTTGGTATTTATATTAAATCCTCTCCTAATTCATGGTGTTATTAAGTACCGCCACCACACTTAAATGTAATTTCATTTTACCATTTTCCGGTATGTTCAGTGGTTTTATATTTTATCATATTTAATAAAATATCTAAATGTAATTAATGGAATGCAGAAAATAGTTAAATATAACATTACATTTGTACTCAAGATGGTTGCCCACTACTTGAATATTTTTACTACGGTATTTACAATAATGAATCTCGAGTGTTCTTTGCGGTTTAAGACATTAATAACCTAAGTAAATTCAACTAGAAGAATAAATCTCGATTTGGTTTCTTCCTAAAAACTGGTTACTAATTTTGAGAACCAGGTACAGTTTTTAGTAACATTTTCATATCAAAAATATTCATATGAAAATGGAGGTGATAAAGAACGCGTGTAAAACTTCTACTTTATTTTAAATTCAATGAAAAGTTTTCAAATCCGTCTGTAATATACATACATAGGATAGCTACTATAAGTATCATACGCAGCCACTGTGTGTGAATTTCACACCTAACGTTTCGGTTAGCTTTAAAAACTTACTATTATTGCCCGCTTAATATTTATGTAACTATAAAATTAACCTAGTCACTTTTCATAATATTCTAGAGTTCTTATTAATTTTGTTTTTTGTACTGAAATAAATAATTTGGCAGCCAGCGATATCTGAATCGTACTTTAAGGTTTCCAGAACGGCTAACAACATTAACTACCAAAGGTAGGCGAATATTTTTCAGTGTGTAATGTCGTAAGTGCCGTCGTCGATGTCGATAAATAGCGGGAGAAGGCGTCGTGTGGCCTTGCTCAACTATTTGCGGCGTGCTTGTGAGCGGAGCCGCCGCCGACGGCGCCGATGCAAACTGTACACAACCCATTTTAATTGCTCTACCGAATGTCAATCGCCACATTCCCTCTAATAATGCTACCCGTCTTTTAATTTCAACCTTGTCACTCATCCCGAGTTTATATTTACCCAGGAAACACTTCCCGTTTCACCATACAACATTCTAACTCGTTTACTGCTACTACGTCTAACTACAAATCGTCCGTTATTTGTAAAACATGTTTCTCTAAAAGCTCTAAGAATTCCACCTTCATACGTTTGTACGCTGTTATAGTTGCATGTTTGACCTAAGAATTTATATAGTCTCAAACAGAAACATTCGACAAATGCAGGAAAGTTAACTGAAATGTTCAAGCTTGTGGAGGCTCTCGTAGCTGTGATATGCCCTTGACACATCGTTACCTTTGAATGAGCGCCGCTGCAATGCGTCGCCCCTCTAATTTCGATAACAAGAGTAGCTTCTCCTGTCTTTTAATAAAATATAGTGTTTTATATAGGCAAAAAATCGACTCACTATTTTTTTAGTTTGGCTAGTAAAAAAATCAACGTTGAATAATTTCGAACTGACATTGACACCAATGTTTTCTATTGTTCTTACGTCAATTAAGTTATTTTCTCCCACGTTACAGATTAATTTCACAATATATATTATTGTTACAATACTAGCGTATGCCTGCAACTTCCTATGCATGGAAATTAGAAGTAGGCATCTGTATCTAATTTATTAAATACTCGTAGAAATCTGAACTACTTAGTAATTGACCTAGAAATTAATTTAGATAAAAGATAGCGGAGTTCACTAGAACAAAGAACTCATATTGGTTTTGTAAAGATAATGAGACGAAACGATGAATCGGATAAGAATAGTTTTGGGGGACATAGCTACTTATTATTTCGTGAAAAGTTTTTTCAATACGAAAATCGAATATGGATATTAGGCTGATGTTACGGCAACAAATAGATGTATTTTTTGGTACGGATTGTTAACTGTTTAGTTCTAATCTAAAGAAATTACTAAATTTAGAATTGAATTGTATTTCTATTCAATAAACTATAGTGAGACTTTTATATGTCTATAGAAACCATTATAAACAGATAGCAAGCCACTAGCATCTTACGTGAAGTCTTCTATTGGAAGAAAAATACCCAAAGGTCAATGTCATGGTTAGTTGTCATGGTGAAGCATACACTGACGGTAAACTACGCCTATTTCTATTAAAAATAGGCAGTTCTTGGAAATGAGAGGTTCGCACGGTATGAAAACTGTTTCAGTAACTCCACAGACTGTGAAAATTTCATCCGCTATGCTTTAGTCGTTAAATGACAAAATTTAAAGGCGAGTTCTATTACACGCTTCTAAGGTGTAAACATCCGATGCAACATTATCTCAATACCCACTTTCATAGCAATATTGTGTGGTGTGGTATAAAAACTCTCTTGACGAGTTATCTAGTACAATGTGACAAGAGGTTTCTGCCCGAGTCACTAAACCATTATTTTCAGGAAATATACATCCGCCAAATCGTCAAATTATTTTTATTATTAATAAAACGTCAACGAATTCTTGCCCAGTTAAACTACCCAATTAAGCAATCATATTCCGCTTAAGAATCAGCTTTTTGTACCAGAAGCTAGAACACGGATCGTTTGAGGAATGGTTTCGAAGTGAAAGCATTTCTCAAAGGATCCGTGTTCTTTCACTCCATCTGCTCTAATTAATTCCTAGTTATAGCTCAAGGATGTAGACTCTTAAGGAAATCGCTTCAAATAATACATTGTCATCTCCCATGATTCGATCGCTTCACCGTATATTTTGCGGAGTAAAATTGATTGCTTCTATAGCTTTTTTGTGTGCAACTAAATAGACTACAAGAAGCGTTGCATTGCTGTTATTTCGTGAGACTGCATAAAAAGTCTTGGACTAAGTGTGCGCAAAATATCTATGGGCAAATCGTAGTTGGTTTACCCTAATACAGTCGTCGAAGATCACCAGAGAAAGACGTTTGTTCGGTAACATCAGTAATATTTAAGACCTTATAAATACTTTGTGAAATAAAAATAACTTAGAGCTCGGTATAAAAAATATTCAATATCAAATATGCTTGAATAATGACAGCTAAGCGATTTAACCAGGTAACAATTCCCTAAATATGACAACCATAATATGACAACGTGTGGTGACGGAATTTGAATACGAAATGTCACCACCCCCATTCATCCCATGGGTGTCGTAAGACCCGACTAAGGAAGAAATCCACGCAGGACAACAGCACTGCAAAGAGAAGGAAAACTTGACTCAAACCCTATACCAACCCGTCTCGCCATCGTTTTATAGCAGGCCAAAATCTCCTTTCTAAGGAGAGGCTTATGTCCAGCAGTGGACTGTTAAAGGCTGTTGATGAATATGACAAGCCTTCTTTCAAGTCAAAGCAGTTCCTCATTATTATACGTGAAAACGGTACGTTCTGAAGTAATTGCTAAGAAATAATGAGTTAGAATAAGAATGTAACGTTATACCTATTGCCAAATCATTTACATACTTTTAATAGTTGCCAATAAAAAATAATAACTAAACTTTAAAATGGTAACGAATGAAGGTATTCTTCATAAACGCATGTCACGTTATTTCATGGAAATGTGTTATTTATTTTAACCATAGAACTACCCTATTGATTGATTTATTGTAAAAGTAAGATGAAGACTTACAGCATTGTTAATACTTTTATATTTAGTTTCAGTCATCGTGATTCAATCAATAAGGAATTTGGTAAAGTGACTATTCAAAATGTGTGCACGGTCCTCTATTCTTTCCAATGATGACTATAAACTAAACATCTTAAATATTTACAATCCAATAATATATAATGTTGATAAGTGTGTTTTTTAATGATAAAAGATTTTAATATAAGACATTTTTTTCTTTTCCTAAAGTAACCGGCTGAAGTTTTAATAGGTTGCCACAGTTTCGGTAGTGAGAAAAATGTTATGTCCCCTGTCGACAGGCGCCCACGTCAATGTCGTCGAATAGTTTCTAGCAACAAACATATCGCATAAATTCCTCATGAGCTCATCGTGCATCGCACCTACCGCGCGCGACCTAGTTTAATGATATCACTTATCATATTGTCTAAATATCACAAACAACATTTTATTTTACCATCACACTTTCAAATATCTAGCACTTCTATAATTATTATCTCGGTTGGCGACCACAGTAAGATAATGCCAACACTATTTTAATAGTTTCATTTACTTTAAATAACGGCTTTAACTATCGTTACAAACAGTGAATTAAATACAAAGATTGGTAGTTTCGTTTTTCTTTTAAGCTAATTTAATTGCATAAGTATTTATCTTGGGAATGTTTAGGACTAGTTAGTGCCCTGGTAAAAACTAAGGGTCATTTCAATCAATCTCGGCACGTGTAATATTTTAAAGTAGGGTAATGAGTAAAAGCAATTATACTATTATCTTTACATTATGTGTAGCGTAAACAAGCTAAATACTTGACGCGTCGATGAGTATTTTCTGTTTTTATCGTACTCGTAAATGTATTTTTAACTAGTCGATGATGGTTTGTGTAGATATACGGGATACGACGAGTACTGCTAGATTTTGGGCAGTGCAGCGTACTCTTGACATTGCCCCTCGGAATAATTGTAAATAATATGTACCTACTAGCAAATGTACTTCTACCATTTCAAACCCTTCCGCAACTATAGACAATATAATATTTTACCTTTAAAAAAGGCTTATGTCACTACATTTGACCTAGATAATTTTTACTACAATTATCGCTTATGTTATTACAAATAAATGAACCAATGAGGTCCGCTACTGCATTTGTCATTTATGGTTGTTTATACTGTGTTATCTGATTTCATTGAATTTCATTAGTTTACGTACGAGTATATGCGGTTGCCCGAATCAGTCGTTTCTTTTATTGTTTCTATAAATACGTACTGCTGTGAGATCGCCAGTGTACTCGTGCCATAACGCGCAGAAAGTTATATCTAATATTAATTTTAAATAAAGGCAAACATCTAAATCTAATTGCAGTCCATTCCAAAGTAATGTTATCTCTCTTGCATATTTACGAGTATATCGAAATCGAGAAAATTCCACTCGCGTCAATGGCTGTTTATCACAAAGTCAATAATTCTTTCACTGTCCTTTTGATGTTTGTGGCTGACAGCATTAAGAACACACTTAATGGCCTCCATTTGGCAGGAAATCTGCTCGCAATTGCGTTTCATAGTATTGCATTATAAACTTTAAAGGTAGGTTTCCTTTACTCAAGTCTACATAGTTTTGAAGAAATATCTACAATAACTCTATTTCTTGTACCCAATTGATTAAAGAAAAATATTGATTTTACCGCCCACTTATCGTTTATTTCAGTGGTCTCATGTTTTATTTAATATCTTTGGTATTATGTTTGGTCTTCACCGATCACAGATTAATTGATCTTGCCCAAAGTAAATATAAAGGTTAGATGAGATTTACATTTTCTGTTCTACAATCTACAATTTTATTACATAACGAACTGCGTTTTGAACACTTGTTGTGGGTGACATTGGTGTGCTGAAGGACTATACATATAAGTTAGTTACATAACACTGCAGCGGGCGACGTCCTCTGTGCGAGGGCGGGCGTTCGGCCAAGGGCGCCTCATTGATCGCCGCGGAGTCTGTACCGTTCCGCGCACCAGTCCAAGCGCGCCAGCGCAATCCTTCTCTCTTTGACTACCTTGGATGCCTGTTGAATACACTTCACATATATCTTATTCATGTCAAAAACGGATAGTTGCCTAAGCTTAAAATAAATAATTTAAGAGTCCTAATGGAGTTAAGCCTTAAATAAAATTAAAAAGTATGATTCCTTTAAGCTAAGTTTAGTGTTCTTTGTTCGTTGAATCAAACGCAAAATAAAAAATAAAATAAATAGATTAAAACGCGTACATAAATAGGGAAGCAGGTGCCCAGGAAATAGTCAGGGTACACATATTTATGTATTGTTTGTCTTGAAATTATTTTGTTTGTTGAGTTAGTACACCGTTGTAGGAGGAATTTATAAACTAGCATTTAAGTACTTAGGTTATTATAAATTGAGCGGAACGCCTACAAACTGTTAGAACAGTTTGGCGAATCGAGAAAATGTAAACAAATGTAAATCTTAAAGTGTGATTAAAGTTTTTGAAAAAAAAAAAAAAAAACAAAAAACGAACTTGACGTTACCAAAGCGTGACGTCAAATTTGTTATTTCATACAATTTTCTACAAAACATATAGTATAATTAAGAGAAGCTGATTTGGTTTTACAGTAAACTGCTTTATTATATTTCATTATTAGTAGCACCTAGTAACGTAAATGTTTGCATAAAATATTTTTTTGTCCAAAAGCATAGAATGTTTATAAAATCAGTTCGTAGTAAACTTTACCGTACGTACCCGTTACCCATGGTCGAGGCAATGGTCAGGTCAATGGTCAATGGTGTTTACATGGATGATTAAGAAGAACATTGAGTTAGACTTAACAAAAGTAATCTGTTACATTTTTATATTGTTCTTAATCGCTTATCTGGTAAAGTTCGAACGTTTTGATTTTTTATGCAGCGTAAAACACATTTCTTTTTATTAAATTGGGAGACTTGTTAGTATTTTAGGCGCTGAGGCGTTATTTGGTCATCATGATATTTTGCATACACGTTGTACGGGATAAATGAAAAAACATAAGGTATTTCTTATCCAGAAAAAAACGAGCGAAGCCGCGGGCAAAAGCTAATATTTAAGTAAAAGTAATGTTTAGACCTTTTTGATTTATCCATATTATTACGCGTATTATTCATTACGTTAGTAGTTTAAAAAATATTATGTTATATTAAAACCCCGATATAACATATTATTTCTACACGACTATTTGTATAAAATAATTGAAGTTTGAGTTAATTTTCGAAGAATCAATTGAATGATTGATAATTAAATTATTGAAAATAACTGTGTTATGGGATAATTATACTCGTAGCAGCAATTAGAATAATTAAATGGAAACTGGCTTTATTACGATAATATTTAAAATATATCTATTGTTTATAATATATTGTCACTTGAGAACTGAAATCCTGGGACATAGGATTGTTCACATTACTAATTTTTTCAAAATTCTCTAATTTTCGTTAAGGGATTTCGAATTAGTTATTCTGTTGTTAAATTAAATTAAATTAAATTTGTCACTTTATTTTTATTTTCTAATCTTGCTTTTCTAAAACTTTGCCCCTACTTAAAAATTATTAATGATTGACAAAGAGTAAATTATAAAAAAGCTTAAAACAACATTTCTTATGAGTTTGGCAAATGTACAGACAACATTTTTTCTCTGCAATGAAGACAAGATTTAATTTTAAATCACATCAGCCGAATAACCTCCACTGCTGGACACAGGCTTTCCCAAGGTTCGCCATAATAACCTGTCCTGTGCTGCCACCATCCAACGGCTCCCCTCGATCTTCACCAGGTCGTCGGTAAACTAAAAAAATCAATATCATTTGTACAAAATTCAAAGAGCGACCAAAATATTTTGTCAAAACGAAATATTTGCATATTTTGTCTTACCGATCTTAAACAATGTAAGTTTGTTTCGAAATGTAGGTACGTAAATAACAATACTTAAAACTATTGAGCTAAATCTTTGCTAAGTCACATTTTTGCTTATTAGGTGATGTGGTAATGTTTAAATCGTGTGCGGTCACGAAAATTGCGAAGCTGGCGGTACCAGGTGCGCTGCGTTACATTATGAAATATATGATTTGGGCCAACTATGAGCTCTCCTCATTGTATATTGTAGTCACGCTTCATTTCGTTATGACAATAAATTATACAAATCAAGACTGAAAACAGTAGGCCAAAACCTCTTTTCTCAGCAGAGGCCTATGTCCAGCATTTCAGCTCAGCTCAGCAAGACTCATCATCATCAACAGCCTATGAAGACTAAAAAACTTTTTTTCATTACCGTAGAATAACGTACTACTATCAATAAGATTTAAAGAAGCAATAAAATGAACAAAGATATCTATAACTTAATAACGGCCTTACCGCTGCATTGATTTAGAATAAACTTGACATCCACAACATATATTGTATGCAAGATTAACGCAAAGAGGCATGTGGTAAACAAAATCTTGCGGATGGAAGTACAGGCAATGTATAGAGCGATTACATTGTCAAGATAATGTAAATATAATGTATGCAAAGTCAGTCGGGGAATTTTCTAAGTCTACGCGTCCATTACAACGTGTCAAGGGGCTTTTTTTATTTTGCTTCTTAATATATTTGTTACTGTGGGAAAGCCATGCTTCGGCACAAGTGGGCGAGCTCCACCGGAGTACTATGGAAACTAAAGCCTCACAGGAAACTAAAATTTCAGCTAAAATTTAAGCTAAAATTTCAAGCCAAAACCCACAAAACGCAGAAACGTACTTCTGACGTTTGCGTTGCAAGTGTCAATAAAAAAAAGTTCAGACCAAAATGATTTTAAAATAAATTCATCTATTAAACTCGTTTGAAATTTTATTAAAACAGTTTGAACATACTTTATCAATATTTTTCACTTGCACATATGTTTGGATATTAGGTTTTAGCACTAGTTTATTTAGAAAACGTCATGTCTACCTACGTCAAACCAAATAATACTTCATTCGTTTTTAAACTAATAAAAATTAAAAAATCTGTAAGTACTGTATCTAGATATTTCTTTAATACCTTTTCATAGCTGAAATGCTGAATGCTAAGGCAAAGGAAAATTACGGAACTATCACTGAAAAATGCTAGTTTACATAAGTGAAGCCTACTAAAAGCCCTAAAAGTAACTTACATTTGGTAATCATTGCTTCATTAATGAAGATGTTATGAAAATATTAAACTCGCATATCACATACGATATAGACATATTAGATACGATAAACATTTTTTGTAATTCCACGACAAACATTCTTCATTAACACCGTCCCATGGCGAGGCCAAGGCCGACGCAGATTCTCATCGACTAGGTGAATGGAAGTGTATGCCACGTGTCCGTCATTAATCGTCTAATAATAGAACATAGTGGAGAGTAACCAGAGTTTCTACATATTTCATTATCATTCATGCTAGTAGTCGTAATGATTTTTTTCTACTTTACAAACAATGTTATCAAAACAAAACGTTTCGCTTTGCACCCATAAAATACTTTGATTTCTTTGGCCCTATGTATAATGTAATAATCACTATTTATTTGGTTAAAACAAATTATTGCAGTTAATTATTGTTCCACGTTAAAGTGTTGAGTAGGCGCTAGCAATTAAACAGATAGACATATACATAGACACGCTATTATATAAAGATATATTCTAACTTTTCAGAACCAAAGAAAGACAAATTGGAAAATGGTGGCGAGCTCATGAGGCCTGAGCGACCCAACTCCTTGACAGCTGGCAAATTATCACGAAGAATATGCTATCAAAGCGATGTTGGTAAGTAATATGACTAATACCCATACATGTTTTGCCGCTCTATATTTAATTTTCCTGTTCCTACTATAAAGTACAATAAGACGCAATTGTAGATGTATAGATTGAGTAACTGTCATTTAATAATTTTTTTGTAGAACTTTCGTTTCTGGTCATAGAGCCGGGTCCTAATGAAAGCATATTTTTGATTGATAAATTAATTTAAACTTCAAAAACACTTATAGGTAAAGGAAATTCAAATTTTCCTATAATTGAAGTATTTTACAAAATAAGCACACATGTATTACAGTGGGTGGGTACGGGTCTTCAGCGGAGAGCGGAAGTGGCAACCCGGAGGAGCAACTGATGTTGTCAGATTTACCAGAACCACCTATAGCCGTGTCAGAGATTGGGCCCATACCACCGCCACCGATGTTCAGCTCACCCAGTCCCACGCGCCATCAGCACCAACACGCGCTCACTCAACATCCTCTCTCGGACTGTAAGCTCACGCAATAAAAGCTAATTATAAATTTTACTATAGTATATAGAATAGATAGTATTTTCCATTCCAAATTACGATGATGCAAATCGTTTTGATAAGCGTCATGTATGTGCATTGTTACACGAATTAATGTTACTGTTCTATCTGTATCAGCCGAAGATGAGGACGAACCAGAGGAAGAAGAAGTTGAGCCTTTGACTTTGGCGGATACCACGCGCGTCGAAGAAATCCCACCAAAGGAGCCTATCTTTGGCGCGATGCCTCTTAAGTCTGCTCTCAAAAAACCACGCCCCACCGCCTCTCCGGCCTCGACACCCTTGGCTACCCCACTTGCACCACGACAAGACCACCACCACACTAGCTTCAAGTCAGTATCCCATCCTCTATTTTATTTATCTTGAATACACGCTGTTAAAGGCATTTATCACCTGCAGTTATCTTATAGTTATATTTTCCTAATGGTGAAAATTCTGGAACTAACTGAAAGTGTCTAATATCTCTCTCTATACTCTATTGCGGCTTTCTTTTCTTTTTTAAATAATTTGTAAGTTTTTACCTTGTACTTATACATCTCGAGCAAATTTGTGATGGTGAAGATAACTGCAGGCAATCAATGTCCATGATTTTCATAAATGTTGGGCGTGACAGTGAAAGTTATACGTTTATTTTCATCCTGCGTCGGCGAGCAGGCGGCCGCCGCCTAAACCGAGGATTCGCATATGGTAACAGTCCCACACGTTATGCCAGTGTTGTTAAACCACGCCATCTCGCCCAGAGACCTCCCGACGGTCCGCTTCGCCTTTAGTCCATGCATCGTGCTGTGCACGCTTCCGACTCTCATCTCCGTCTTATTTAATTGTTGATGTCTCTTAACTGTCTATATACTAACGCCACATAGTTGCATATTTTCATAAGATTGTGACGCTTTCGATAAATAAAAAAACTAGTACAAATACAAGAATCCGTAAAGAAACAATAATTTAAAAACAGTTTGATAGAGAACGTATTTGCATCCATAACCTAAATTTGACTTGAGTACCTACTGTTGTTAAAAATATGGCTGTTTAATATATTGTACTTTATGCTCTCGTCATTGTTCTATGTTGCATGTATGTGTTATGTTATTGTTTTATCTTAGATGACATCATGTTATGTTCTTTCAGTTTCTTTTATTTATGTTGATTTTATTAGATGTAAAATTATCAAAACCTTATGTGTTTATAAAAATATAGTATATTGTTTATTGCTTAAATGTTTGTAATATTTGGAGACATGTGTAACTAAGTAAAGTTATTTCAAGACGATTTTTAATAGTTAGACTAATAGTTAATCACTTTTTACAAAAACATATTAGTACGTTAGTATTACTAACCGTTCTAAAGTACTAAAAGTTCATAAACGAGATCTAACCATATAAAAATAGACACTTTTTGCATTATTAGCTTTCACGTAGAACACGACGTTTAATGCTAAGAGTTAACAGAATGAGACACTAGAAGATATAGAAATTAACAAAGAAATATTGATGTGAACACATTTTTTAAGAATCCGCACCTCAGCGAATAGAAATCTTAACGTCAATGAGTTTGTCTTTATGCGATTCTTTGCTTAAATCGTAAACCTAACAGTCCTAACAATAAATTGTTCAGCATGAGTGTTCATCCATATTTCCTTGCTAATTTGATGAATTATCACGTGTCGCTTATTTTTGACACTTGTGTGTGGTACAAATTTGTTAGCCCCCGTATTAAGATTTTGATTTTATAATTAGTAGCAATCGTCCAGTGCGCGTGGGCAACGGAATGGAAAACAAGGAGAACGCTCGGCCGTGGGAGTATGACAGCAATGACTATGCGAACGAGTCAGATCGCGTAGCTGCCAAGCTCGCACGCAAGGAGAGCCTTAACATCAAGCTGGCACTTCGCCCTGACCGTCAAGAGCTTATAAACAGGTAACTTATTAAATTTTTCTCTCTTTTACACATGATCATTAAGGGATTTTGGTTCAAATTTGTATGCTTTTTTGGCAAAAGCTTTGTATAACCAGCTTAAATTTGCTAGAAGTTGCAATGGAAGAGCTTTTTGTGAGAGACATCAATAACAGTAATGTGTTATGGTCCCATACGACCCTTGCCAATCATTTTATTGATAGGACTATGATTGGTAATTATTAAAATTTTCTAAAATAGTACATAATAAAAAATGAAGTAACTTGTTTTCAATGATTTATTTCAAACCGCGTAATTTTGTTTACACCAAACTATCAAATTTTCAATTTCGTATCTGTAATGCGTAAGCTCATGTACAATACGGCTGTTTTTCATGTCATTATCTCCACACAAAAAATAAATTGATTTCTGGGGTTGACTGACAGAGAATGCCGTAGCTCATTCATCTATTACTTCAATTAATCTAAATACAATCTTGATACCGCCAATTAAAATTGGAAGAAAACAATGTAAGTAAACTAACTGTTTATTTTTTGGATACTTGCTGATAAAACAATCTGGATCGAAATTGAGAAAAATAACATTGCAGGCGCTTCAACTTTTTAAAAACATTTTTTTTTTGCTAGAGTAGAGAGTACCTATAATCGACAAATCTACAGATTCTTATGTTACGGAATCATAGAACATTGTCAATGTCAAAACCTACGTTCTCTGCTAATGAGCTGCCTGTCATCGTAATGCATTATGTATGTATATTTATTATTGAAGTGTGCGAATATTGTGCTACACACCTGTTCCGTAACATCATTTGTGTCGGATTGAGATCTAGTACTACAGCACTACAGAGTTATAACAAGCAAACAGGCATTATAAACATTGGTTAGAATTAAAAATACTACAAATGGATGTCGGTAAAATATCTTGTCATATCTTGTAAAATAAATAATCTTAACGTATAAAAAAAAAATGTAGTCACTTATTGGGTTCAAATTTCGAGAATGCCGCACTTTAAAACACTTTTGCCAACTTATATGTTAACGTTTTGCAAATGATGCAAACTGTATATAAAATATTACCAAACAAAGACACATCGATTTTAATCGTATATTGGAAGTAGAAACGATATTAAAATCGATTCGTATCATCATTTCAAACAATGAAGTCATATGTCCTCATGAATGAACTCGATGTATATTTTTTGCATAGTTGCCATATTTGTGGAAATTTGGCAGCACAACGTATTTATATTTTTTACGAAGAATACAACTTCGACGTGCACGTGTTGCATTACATAATATAACGTTCGACCAATAATAGTCTCATCGAGTGCCGTCTGGCAACAATGCCCGACCCGGACATGGGCTTCTATTTTAAACACCACCTTCAAAGTCATTGTTATCATTGTTTCATTTCTTCCTGCCTCTGAGAGCTTGCTCTTGGCATTGGCATTGTTTTGATTTTTTATTTGCTGATAGATTTTCAAACGAAATTTATAAAAACAGCAGTTTTTTTAATTTTGGAAATACTACTGATGAATCATGCTATCTAACTCCGGTTAAGAATATTGCGACAATATAATCTAGAGTGAGTGGTGGACAACAGTTTGATGACATTGTAAAACCTAACTTAGTACTTCTCGAAAATTCCACTTACTTGAACTCTGTGTGATAAAAATCCTTATTTATTAATTAAAGATTGCGAGTTTAATGCATTACAGATTTGGGAAAATAGCCAACAATGCACATTAATCGAATATTACGAAAACACTTTCTGCAACGTCTAAAGCTTTGGCAAAACTTTATATTGTCAGACGCTTGCCAGTACGGGTGCAAGTGCGCTAAATAAATTCTGCTAGTGTTCTCTTAGCCTCTGAGAGAAAGTTACATCAGTGCGGAGCGTACGCGATTATGTAAATTGTGTTATGTATGTAATAATAAGAGCTTGTGGTGTGCCCGTAGGAATATTCTAGTGGTGCAGAGCGAGCACGAGAGGCAAGAGTCGTGGGAGGCCATCGGCGCCCGCCTCATACGCCGCTTGTCCATGCGGCCCACCGCCGAAGAACTCGTAGAGAGAAATATACTCAAAAGTAAGTTGTTGGTGTATATATATATTTGTTTTTTCATGCTTCCTGCATAAACGATGACATATTTTTCAAGTCTTAAAAAAAAATATCATTCGGTTAGCTTGGTTGATTGTAGTGTCATCCTGCCTCATCGCCTCAAAGCCAGTAGTGTCAGGGTTAAATCTATTTATCCAGAAGGCAATACGTTTATCGGCTTTGGTACTTAAGATTAACCGGTCCCCCCTAATCCTGTGATCTCTTAACTAGAGCATTTCCATTTCATTCTTATCTTTTAGTTGAGCTGAATTGTTTCGTAGACAAACTCATGAACGACTTTGCGATATATTCAGGTTTACGAGAATAAAATGGTGAATCTCTATTTTCCACTGCTCAATAATATGGGCCGCTATAAATTATCAAACTTGTCTGCTTGCATTATATATACATAATTAAAAATAACAAACGCATAACCTCAAATCGCGTGTTGTTTACAATCAGCCGAGGTGATGTTAATACATGGAACCCAATTGTAAAGTTTAAAAGCCTCCAATGCGTTTGTTAAAATACGTGTTGACTTGTAGCCCAATTTACGCAATGAAATGAGGACACTATTATAGATGCAAATTTTGTTAAGAATAAAAGTCATGAGCAAGCCAACGCCGCCTCTATTCCTGTGGTTTCACTGTACATGCACGGTTATTAACCTAACCTCTATAAATTTTGAAAGATATAAAAAAAGTTTGCTGAACGGTTTAATGATAAAAAATAAAAAATGTAAATTTTTGTATCATTAAAACCAAAACCCATCCACCTTCAGGTCAATCACCTGCGGAGGAGAAGAAACAGAAGGAGGAGAAGAAGCGATACTTGCTACGCAAGCTCAGCTTCCGACCTACCGTCGACGAGCTCAAAGAGAAAAAAATCATACGATTCAGTGACTACATCGAAGTTACACAGGTAAAATGAAAAAAATAAATAAAACAACAACGAAACAACAGATGTTTGTCAATCGCGACAGAACGGCTACCGTGTGATTTGGTCGCAATAGCTGTGGTAGTATCGTAATTCCTTGTCACAGTTAGATGTCTTGGAAGTCCGGGGAAAGAACCAGGTTTCTATTCCAGAGCAGAATGAACTATATCTATCTTAATAATTCTCTTTTGCTTGCACAGGCTCACGACTACGATCGTCGCGCGGATAAGCCTTGGACTCGTCTAACTCCAAGAGACAAAGCCGCCATCAGACGAGAGCTCAACGAGTTTAAGAGTTCAGAAATGGCAGTACACGAAGAAAGCAAGCATCTTACTAGGTAAATATTATCTTATTATTAAGTCTATGAGCGACCTATAACATTTGCTATTATACTTATTAAAAAAGTTTTCAGTGCAAACAGACTGTTTGTTTTAAAGTCAAACAACCTTGCTCGAGTTTCTTCTATTAGGAAGTTCGTCGAAATTGCAGAGGTCGAAGTGTGAGTTTATTTCACTTCTACTCGATCGCCACGGTGACCGCGTGCCGCGTTGTGATTGGTCCGCACAGAAATCTCCATCAATCTCAACGCCAAAAGCGTTAGCGGTCGAGAGCCAGCGAGCGATGAGAAATACACACACACTTGGGCCTCAGTAGTTTTTAAATTCACCATAAGATATTTCGAAATTATTATTTACTTTACGACCACTTACACTGACCAACAATAACGTTTTTTCCTCAGATTCCATAGACCATGACGGCTGTGCCTTAGAGCCGGAGAGGAGTGCTTAGCTCGGGTCTGCGGCTGATGCTCACAACCGAGGGCAGTGGCGCGAGTGTTGCGCGGTTGTAGCGCGGCGCGAGTTTCAACACCACTGCGCCACTAAAGTGCTGCCACGTTAGTGGCGCGACAGTGGTGCGACTGCGGCGCGACAGTGGCACGACTGCGGCGCGAGCAACGCACGTTTTTCCTCGACCACCGCGCGTGGCCGCACTGTGATTTTAATGTTATTTATATTGACTTCTTCCGTTTTCTGGAAGATTTGTATGCAATAACTTACCAGAACGCATCGATAAAGTGTTGAATATTCTGAAGTTGCGTTGTACCGCTGTTTTGTCGTTACATTTTATACGTGGGTACCGGTAGTGCAATTATGTTTTTTTTTATTTACCTACTTTGTATCGTAGTTATTGCCGAGTACAATTATTATCATTACGGTATCGTTTATTAATATTAAGTTGACGTATTCTAAGCATAACTATACATTCTTTGAATTGACCTTCAAGAAAGGTTAGTGATACTGATTATGTGGTGACGATTATGCGCTTTCAATTTATATGAATTGTATGTAACGTTTACAAGTGACTTATTTTCATATGTGAGACGTATCCATCAATATTGTACTTTTGTAAACTTGTGATTATTCTTATATTGCTAGCTTTTAGCTCCATAGTCGATAAGCTAGATTTCAACCTTCAATTAATTATTTGGCGTGCAAATTATATTGCATTATTTTACGGTCACAATTTGTATTTTGTCTCTTTGTGTGCAAAAGCAAAAACATGTTCAGTGCCACTCAATTTCTTTGCCGGTCATGGCGTTAGATTTCTTGTGAGTACAGTCTTTTGTACATCCTAAAAACATAGTTCTTTATCACATGTACTACTTGAGGTGTTTGTTTCACATTAGATGCATGAGATACTACCACAGATTTTCATTGATTGTTTCCGCGAATTCTTCTTAGAAAATTGAACAAGATAACGTAATTGAAAATTATAAAATGATTTGATAGTGTATAAAAATGTTGTAATATTGTTGAAGTAAGATAATAGGTGTTATATTGGTAACCAACGATTCTATGTTGATAAAATGGTAGGTAATTGGTAACGTTTGTCCATTTGTTTGAAGAGTCTAAAGTGCTTCCAAAGTAATGTGCTAATAACAAATTCAATGCGTAGCTCGATGTTAGTATTACGTAATAATCGATTATGCGTTTGGCACTACAACCAGCGTTAATTTGCTCAATCATTGATTAATACTAAATAATATAAATTTGAAACTAATATACCACCTAATATCGTCTGTCGATGTTAAATATAAACTGTTAATTAATTTTCCCCACTAAACTCTAGATCAGCAAAAAAATAAATTCTCAAAAATTCTTTTATTAGCTCAATTTAACAAACAAATAAAACCGTTTGTTAGCCGTCTAAAAACTCGATTGTATGTTTGTGATAAATACATTAGACGAGGTTCAGTTACGAGATTCCTATGTAGAGGGAATTACCAAATACAGAAATACGTTGCTGGTGCAATAACACAGAATACTGATATTGAGCTCAATATGAAAGGACTGTATACTGTCCATCCTGTACGACACCAGAAATCTCGGCGGGAACAACTTGTTAATCATCTTGTCACTCTAGCCTAGCTCTAGTGTAAGTTATTGAAACGTTGAACGAACTAATGACTAACTAATTTATGATCGAATAAGCTATTATAAAGCTGTAGCTGTTAAATACATAATTATACACCTTCTGAGATTACGGCGATTATTTGACGACGTGTTTGTATGTTTGGTTTCACTCAGAGGCCTTTGTATTTCTTGATTGGCTCGATAAACTGCTATCTGGGTGTCGGTTGACGAATGAAATTATTTAAAATTTGAGTTTAAAAGTTTTTATATCACTGTATAGATTAATTCTTCTTAGTGTTACTAATAGATAGGAATCAGTTATAAATATTTTTTAAAACGATATATTGTTCAGTAGCGGTGCCATTTCGTGTGACGTGTTTTCATGGTATAGTCATGCCGGTTCTTATTGTGAGTTGTTGCGGAGTTGTGGCTGGGAGTGTATGTGACATTAGTACTAATTAGACTGCCATTTTCAAACGGTTGCTCACTGCTTTTTACATCAGCAATAGCTATTTTATAGAAATGTGTATCGTTTGTAAAGATACAAAATATAATCAGCCAATAAATCGCTATTTAAAGTCGCCTTTGTGTTTGTAATAGTAGAAGAAAGCGACCGTATTGCTGGTGCAAAAAGTCGTAGTGTTGTGCGGTCAATGCTAAAGTCAACTCAGTGACGCGAACTGCGCATCAGTTTGAAGGAAGTTTCTTTACACGTGTTTTTATATAATAATTATCTTGTTATGTTTAAGACAATGCGTAATCACAGTACATTATAGAAGATAATGATAGCGAGCTACAAAAATGTTAATATAATGGTTATTCTTGAGACCATTCCATTAAGTGTAAAGTAGAAGCCAAAATGACGACTTATTTTTCTAAACGATTTTGTTAGATTTGCAATTAAACTAATAAAGTTAAACGTAGTGTTTATCGATATATAATATAATAAGACATTCATATTCTCCAAAGATCTAAGGCTCAACTAAATTGTTTCAGCTTTCGTACCACTTGTGGATTATAGAGACTTTGCACACGGATTGGCTGTTCGTTTTGTTCGACCCCGGTTTAAAGATACACAAACTTTATTCTCAGCCGATATGTATTAACGCAACTTTTGATAAAATTTTAGATGTCAATTACAAGAATTAAAAAATAAAATCATTAAGAATACACAAATTATATAGCTTTCTACATTTGCAATAATAAAAAATATGGGGATAGAACACTACATTCCCTTTCGTTGACAGGCACCTTAGTAACACATGATCTGAATTACTAATAGTTAATTGAAATAAAACTGTTTCAAAATGAAGACCATTCAAGTGTTGACTAACAACGCGGTACATCATTCAGAAACAAAGATAAGGTATTTTATTCTCTGACATAACATAACAATCAGTGCATGCGAGTGCAAAGCCTCTACGGTATGAACTTTTGTCTTATGACTCTATACGACTAAAAGAAGTAACCATCAAGCTTTGAAAATAATCGAGGTCCTTTAGGTCCTCTACCTACAGTTTTATTAACTTGCGATATTATTAACTATCATCAAATCAAATGTGATATTTTTAATTTATAGTATATTGTACACTAATTTTTTTTTCCATTGTATTTGTAAATTACGATATCATTTAGATACGCTAAGTCATACTATTTGTTAAACATTTAATCACATGATTGTTAAGCAAAACATTGTAAATTAGTTTGTTATTTTGCATTCGCAGAATAAACACAAACATTATGTATATGATACAATTAAATATCTTACTAATTGGATGTTTGACAAGTATTATTTTATCTAATATCATAGGTGATGCAAATTATTCACTCAAAGATATCGAAAAAACGTCAAAAAAAATAGTTACATTTAACACAACATGTTGTTCAAGATGATAAGTCGCCGGATTATGTTAATAGTATTAGCAATGTAAGTCATTTGTATTTTCATTAGTGGTTTTAAAGCAATTATATCGATAAACATTCTTTTGAAATTATTTCTGTATATAATTTTATTGTAATGTAAATGATGGAATCTCTCATTTCCAACGGTATCGTTCGTAATCGTTTGTACTATTACGATTTATAATTTTATTGCTAATCTTCAGTAATCTGTATACTACTTTTATTTTAAACATCATGTAAATTATTAATGACTTATGAGTATATATTGCTAGCTATAAAATTACTTGTTTTATATAAAGTAAGTCTGTAAATATCATAATTATACATTAAGTTTTATACATTATCGTTTTCTTTTATACCCAACCCCCTCTGGTGTTTATTAAAAATACATAATAGGCGGTGTAACTTTAGGCATATGAATGAAAATGCAATTTGTACGCCTATCATCAAAGATTGTTTAGTCAGGTGATGATTTCTACTTCTGTGGTTTTTTAATGGAATATTAATGAAGGCTTTGACCTGTGAAGCTTTGCCGGTGTCGACTTTCGATGGCGCTAAGTTGTAGTCGTGCGACTGGGTTGAGAGAAAGTTAACTGTAGTGCGTGCCCGTTACCGCCCGCGCCGAGACGAGCCGCCAGTCCGCGCCGGCAGCCGAGCGAGCCGACCGCGCACTCCCGCGCACGCGCACCTTCTGTTTACATTAAACTTGACCATCCGGTAAAAACATAACAGAAAGCGACAGTGTTCAATAATAAACGTTTGATGCCCTTTAGCCCGGGTACCGTACGGTGTGTTGTGTGTGACCTTGGGAGTCGAGTCCTGTCGGTTGAAAGGTCACGGTGTGAAAGTGCAACGGCCGCAACAAAGGATCATTGCTATGACGTTCTCTGGAAATACGAAGGAGAGTAAACCGCGACCCGTGAAAGATGCATGGGAATCAGAGGTGAGACAAACCGTAGTTTCTAATTTCTAATGTTGATCTCGCAGCTTTGTAATTATATTGACACGCGTGGGACCAAGGGTATTGTTATGGTAAAGATTTTATCTCGATAATTATTCGTGTGACAGTAAGGAGTATAATGATCGCTTTCTCTTTAGAAGGAGGTTTATAAGATAGCTATCTAGCTCTTCAGTTGGATTAGCTCCAAGTTTGCTTCAAGAGATATTTATGTAGAATTAATTAAAAAAGGAACGAGTTTGAGCCTGCTTTAAAAATGATAAGTACAGTTGGCTTAAATGTAAAATATCAAGAACTGGTTATCTAAACATATTTACTATACCTACTTAATAGTTGATCAAAAACAAATTAAAATGCAGTGTAATGAAGCTGTTGAGACTTCCTGATGTGTTAAATGTTTTAGTGGTAAAGTAAAAGCCATCTGCTAAATTTATATTTTACCGTATTCGATATTAATGGTTGTCGACCAGTACAATAAGTAGGTGGCCACATAACTACGTGTGTAATGCATGAAAATGATTTGATATGCCTACCAATTTACACGAAGGTGCAATTTATTCCCTAACGTTTACGAATTTATTTAATACAGTAATAGGCAGAAGCGTTAATAATTTGCAACACGTAATAACTGACTAGTTAACAGCAAATCTATAAACAGTTACTTTGAAAGGTATCGTATGTCATTTTGTTAAGATATTTTTAACTATATACTCTGCTAGGTATATGATGAATATAATAGATACCTAGATATATTTCTGTTGGCTCTGTATTACAATTTACGATACCTTTTATTAAAGACTAGTACCGAGAGATCTAATAGTAACTTAACTCCTTTTTTACTGTCGCTATACCTTAAAAGTTAACCGCATCTTTCATTGGATCCTTCTTACATGCCAGATCACAGTGACTGGGTAGGACGGGCCTGGTTAGGCTTTCAACTAGTTCAAAGGATGAGGGTAGTAGGAATTTACTATTACTAGATAACAATTTAATATATATGTGGACAGAGCGCACAAAGCTGAAGATAACCGTTCGATATTTTTTGTGAAGAGAAGCACTGTAGATTTTTTGAGATTAAAATCAAATGAATCAATGAAGTCAAGAGAAAAATGATTTTGCCAATTAAATATTTTTTCGAACCAATTTTTTTTATTTTGTTAAACTTCTAGTTTTAAACGTACTAGAAAACGTTTCAAATTATTGCCTTGTTGTCGGTTGTCCCCCTTTTAAAATTTGGACCTATTTCTTAGCTTACCATGGATGCACCGTGCGCTGCCGGGTCCATTGCGTGATAGATGGGGAGCAACACATGCGACTCCTAAACCCGACTAAAAACTAAATTTAAAGATTCCGTGACATGTACGTATACACACATACTTATATGTATGTAGTTTGACATGTATGAAAAAATATGATGTTAATTATCATCATCAATTATGTGTGTGGCCACAAAATTAGTTAATTCATTAAAGAAGTTTTGCAAAAAAAAAAAAAAAACGGGCAGTTGCCTATTAAACTATTTTAGTAACATAGAAAACAATATATATGTTTATACGGCCATGAAGTCCATGCTAGCGACCGTCAAGAGATACAAACTAGAATAACTTTCAAATACAACACAAACAACATTTATAATGGTATTTTTAATTTTTTATGTACCAATAACATCTAACTCTGTTCGAATGAACAGAATAAACAGTCAAAATTGTAAATTGCATTTCAAAAAGATGAAGGAATTGCCGCTATTTAACCTCAAGTAAAAAAAGTGTAGTATCACACAAGATTAACAAGGACGCCTAAAAATGGGTATATTTTATTGAAAAAATCTTTACTTATTTATTGTTATAATGGCAATAGAATTGTACACTCTGTAAAATATTTCAACTGTTTACATAAAACGAAAGGTAGCGTAGGTAATCTTATAATAGGGTTCCCTTCGGATACGGTAGATTAAAATATCCTTGAGCTCTAGAAACATCTCTTTTTAAGACGATAAAGTACACAGATGACCTCATGAGATGGGTCAACCATTTTCCGATGTTTTTCAATTTCTATATATAGGCTTTTTTTTCTCTTTTTTTTTTCAAGTTTGCCAGAAGAAAAACTTTCTAGGCACCTAGAACAATTCAATTATAAAATTGTAAAACCTGTTATGATGCAACTTAAATTGTTTGAAAAGACATTCTTTATCTTAGTTTCCTCACTATGCAAATAATTTATTTGTTTATTAAATCCTATCGTTCATTTACGAAACCGCCTGGTGCAGGGTCGGACTGGACTGACCATACTATATGTATATGATTTAGTCGAGTCTACTACTGTTAGTGAACTAATAAATAAGCTTCCCTAAAAATTGTTTGATGGGGTAAGTTGTAAAAATTACGACTAACATTCCATTCGCACGCCCACTCGTAAGATCTGAAGTTCACAGAACCACTACTAATAATTTATAACAAAAAATAAACAAACGATTTCACAACGGTAATTACTTTGTAGGTACTTACGTCGACGGTTTGTTATTCAACGAATTTTCATTGAATCCATCGCTTTAACGCTAAATTGTAGACTCCAATCACGCTTATTTCTACCTTTCACTGACAACCATAACCGCATCTTTCATTGGATATATATATATATATATTATTTTATCGTTTTGGTTTTGTATTGTACTGTCCTACAACAAAAATAGTATTTATATTTTTTTGGATCTGGAACAAATGGATGAAACCCAAGCCCAGCTAGTTTTAACTAATATTTAAGTATTTTAAAGTGTTTACACGATGCTTTCCTTGAAGCACTTTTTTATTCTTTGACAAATCTACTTAAATGCAGCAAATTAAAAAAAATCCAAGCTAGAAAGCTCCGTTAAGCTGTTTGCATCTTTAGAAGTCTAAAAGATTTGTCCTAAGTAAGTACCTAATATTATTTGAAAAATAATATTGAAATAGTTTGTTGTAAGTTTTCACAAAAATAAGTGTAACTGTAAATAACAAACATGAAATCTCCGTTACATTGCCTTGTTTATAGTGTGACATTTTTCTTTACCCGTCGATTATAAGAGAGACAAATACCGAAAATTTTCTTAGGCACCTTAATTCTTAAGTAACAGTTTAAATTACATTTGTTGCCTGATGAAGTATTGTATGTCAGTATCATGTGTTATGTCGACACAGGAGTAAGGCTACATCTAACGTTAAAACTTTAGGTTGGAAAGTTTTAAAGTCAGATAGGTATTACTGTCAGTCAGATAGGTAAGCGGAAATGATACATTATTATGGTAGACTAATACTTATATTTTATCAAGTCGGGTACCGTTTCCCATGAAACAAGTAGGCAGGTGCTTACTGCGAAGTTAATAGCAACTAACTAAAATAAATTCAAGCAATTCAAGCCTCTAAAATGACAATGTTCTAAAACAATAGAAAATAAACAAATCACATCAACAACATGAAATGAACGAGTCACAAAATATATTATCGAAGTAAAAAGAAAGTCAAAAGCGATTACTATAACAGGCCAAGCAATAGAAATGTTTTGAACAGGGCCTCAATTCTGCAATTTTAATATTGTATTGGAGACACGCCGCCTCAAAGGAGATCGTGCGGTACCCCCTTATGATCCTGATGGCCAGCACTCGCTGCGGTCGTCGCAGTAGTGGGACATAGCTGGCCTTCAGGGCTCCCTCCTATATTGGGGCCCCATAAAGGGCCATGGACCGCACAACCCCCGAGTAGAGTCTCCTGCAGGAGTCCTCGGGACCCTTCATGTTGGGCAGTAGCCGCGCCAATGCACGCGCTGCCCCAACCAGCTTGGGGACCAGACCTCGGAAATGATGTCCGAAGTCCCATCGGCCAACTCCAACTTCCCCTAAAAAATCATTAATTGGAACAATTAATGTTCTATTCATTATTTAAAAAAATAGTATCCTAGTAATTTGTTATTAGTACTATTTTTTTTTCACTAAACTTAAACTAACTAATGGAAAAAATTAAGTGACTGAAGGAATTGTAGTAATTAACTAAAAATAATAATATCTACTTAGAAACAATCTTGATATTCCTTAATTTTTTGGAATATAATATACTTAAATGAATCGAAGAACTGAGTGAGAGCGATGAAGTGTGTCAGTGATGTGTTAACGGCGCAGACGGAGCGATGTCATCCGTGATCCGGGTCGCTGCCTGCTGACCGACCGCGGTGCGTTCACATCACAAATTAGCATTTGTTCTGCGAGCACTATACACGGTATTGAATGGGGCCATTCTAAATAATCTAATTAAACTGAACGACATTGAACTTTAGGTAACGGAATTCCACAAAAATATCCGTTGTTTTGTGGAACTAGGATTGCTTAAAAAGTGTGTGAGCACTATGCAGAATACGTCGATTTCGTTTTTTTTTTTATTTTTGGCAAAGTTCCATGGAATTTATTAAACTATATACGTATACAGGCGCGGCCGCAGTCTGAAATTTTGGAAGGGGGGTCACTAAAAAAGAATGTCGAGTAAATTAGAGTTTATTGCACAATACACAATTTTATTGCACACATTATTAAACAAATGAAAGTCTTCAACATTTATTGGGAAATCGGGTGATAATTTTTCAGACGTCTGGGGGCAATCTCTGGATGAATATTGAGAAGATCTAAATTATAAACTATTCGGCATATTTTACCAAAAAGGGATACACACAGTGCTAAAATAAAATAAGCTTCACCTACTCTAACTCCGTGGTTCTGAAACCACAGAGTTGGAGTAGGTAACGGGAGATAATACTGCTCAACTGATGGATGATGATGATGGTCATATTTTTTGCTATTGATAATTGTTGCCACTTTAGGTAATAGAAAAAATATGACAAAAATGTAAAATATAAGTAAGGTAGGTAAATCTCTAACAAACATTTATGGGCATAAATTCTAGTGCAACAGGCTGTGTTTTTTTACCCTACCTTTAACCTTAAGTTAGGGTAGGTAGGATTTATTC